GTAGTTATATATTCCTAAAGTTTAGCCTTTATTATAGTTACCGGATTAATACCGTCCTCTCATTTCTTAATTAGTTTCTTTCCCTCATTAGTATCTATACTAAACCGAGTTCAGGTTCTCTCTAATATATATATGTGGTTTATAGCAAGAGGAATTTAAAGGTAAGGTAGTTTATAATAGGTTTATAGAAAGAGTTCAGTAATAAAGGTATCCAAATACCTGATTCAGATACTAGATACCCCAGATATCTAGGAGTATTATAGGTATTAAAGTAAATATTTTGCCCTTAAATATTTCGTCTATAACAAGAAATTTAGGAAGTAAAATATTATAATTCCGGAAGGGTCTAAAGCTCAAAGAACTCGATTTAATAGTAAAATCGAAGTAGTAATTAAATAGCTTCAAGAGCATATATAGGGCATATATAGGGCATATATTCCGGAGAGAGGGTCTTATAGATACGGGTATTATATAAGTAAAAAAGATAATTTCTAAAAAAGTAGTCTTAGGGCCAAAAGAAGTTAGTTTTAAAGAATAATAGAAATTAAATAGATTGATAGTTAAATGGCTAACTACTTATTAATTAGTAAAAGCTAGATATCTTCTCTATAGGCTACTAAATGCTTTTATAAAGTTAATAAGTAGTTCCCCTCTTTAATATAGAATAGACTAGATTTGTTTTAGGCTACCAAATACTTTTAGGACTAATCTAAAATCTTCTCTAATCTATATATATAAACTAATTAGTATCGGTTTACTAGTAATATATAGTACTATTATATAGGTATAGAAATACTAGTTATATTAGTTAGTAAAGTTATTATTATTTAGAAGTAGGGATTATAGTATTATAGTATTAATATGTAATCTCTAAATCTGCTAAGCCTAAAGGAATCTAGTCTACTAGTCAAATTACTAATAAGATGCGAGGTTATATAACTATGTCCCGTATCTCATATCCCATTACTTATATCTTATTACCCATATCCCATTACCCATATCCCGTATCCCGTATCCCGTATCCCGTAACTATACACGTGACTCCCAAAGAAATAGCTATACTAATACTTACTTATTCTAATATATTTCGGAGCTTACTAATAAATAAATAACTAAAATAGTAATATAGATATTATAATTTAATCTTTATAAGAAAGTAAGAATTATAAATAAAGAATTCGGAAATAAAGCTTTATAAAATAATATTCTAAAATAGGAAAAAAATATTTAAAATATTATATTATAAATATAAAGTATTTAGTAAAAATAATAAAATAATTAGTAAAATTATTAAAATAGACTTTTAGCTTATTTATATTAGCTAAGCTAAGTAGAAATAGAGTTTTTATAAATATAATATAGAATTATACTTACCTAATTAGTATTTTTACTATTATAAATCTAATAAAAAATATAGATCTAATACTAAACTAAATATTAGTTTAATCTTTAATAGTTTTATTAAGTTTAATATTATTATTAGTTTATTATAAAGCTTGAAATTAGTTAGAACTAGTAGTTAAGAATCTAGAGGCTCTAGTATTAATTATAACTTTATAAAAATAATAAGTATTATATTTTAATATATTATTAATTATAAATATCTGAGTATTTTCTATTTATTTAATAGGCTTTAGAATATAGTTTTTATTTATTATCTAATATATAAAAGAAAGAAAAGTAAAAATATTTATAAAAATATTAGTTATAAAAATAATAGAAATAGGAGCTATAAAAGTAGCTAAAAAGCCTTTAATAAAAATAAAATAGGAATTAGAATAATATTTCTTTTCTTTATTTCTTTTTATTAATAAGGCTTTAAAAATATTACTTACTAGTTTATTTTTATTATTTTTATTATTATTTTTTTCTTTAAATTTAATAATATACTATATATAAATATTATTAAAATATTTACTAAAGTTATAAGTATTTCGGAATCTAAATTAGTAAATATTTCTATTCTTAAATTAAGCTTTCTTAGCCTCTTATTTCTTTAATATATGTTTTTATAAATAGTATTTAGGTTTCTTATATATAAAATATAATTTCGGAATATAATTATTATAATTATAAGACTTAAAGTAGTTATTATAGGTTTTGAAATTATAGCTAGATTTATATTAATAATTTCTGGATAAATAATAATTTAAAGAGTTTTAAAATTAGTATTATTAATTAGTAAAATAAGTTTTAGTAATAATTTATTACTTTTTCTTATAAATAGTAATAAATAATTAGAATTTATTAATAAGCTAGCCGAGATTATATATTAGTATACTAGTAAGTTTTAATAAAAAGTAATAATTTTATTATATAAGAATTTAATACTTTATAAAATAAGAATAAGGCTATATTATAATTTATATAAGTTATTAATTAGTATTTAGATAAGCTTAAATATAGTTTTTTTTTAGAATTCTTTACTATTATAATTATTAAAATAATAGTATTTTATTTATCTAAATTTTAATAATAGAAACCGGGGCCTTTAAAAAAGCTATAGATATTTATATAGGCCTCTTTATATATATGGCTCGAGAGCTAGTTATTATAGAAATAGTCTTATACTAGTTCCTTTAATATAGTAGGAAAAGCTCTTACTAGTATCTTTTCTAGGAGTTTTATATATTAGTAGATATTAAGGAAAATAGTAAGTTTATAATTAAAACTATTATTAGTTCTATTATATTTCTATATTTCGGAATATATTTTTATTATTTCTTTAATAAGCTTTCTAGTAAAAATAGTAGATATTAATTAATAATAGTTCGGGTTTAGTAGTAATACTAGTAATAATAAAAATAAAAGTAATAAATAGCCCTAATTTAAAAGAAATAAATAAATAGCTTAATTTATTAACTAAAATTATCTAGTTCTCTTATATCTAGTTTTATCTAAAATAAAATAAACTAATATAATAGATTTCTAGAAAAGATCTATTCTAATTAGACTATTATTAATAATATTAGCTTTATTTTATATACTTTTTATTTTTTCTCGAATAAGATTAATAAAGAATTATATAATAATAAGGTTTCTATAATTCTATTTAATATAAATACTATTATAATAAAGTTAGATTTAAAGATTTTATATAAATATATAGCTAATTAGATTATATATTATATTATTAAAGTTTTTAAAGTTATTTTAAAATAGATTCTATAAATTATTATTACTTTTCTTATATAAGATATACTAATATATTTTAATAATTATATATTTCTAAAGTTTAGTCTTTATTATAATTACCGGATTAATATTATTCTTTTATTTCTTAATTAGCTTCTTTTTCTTATTAGTATTTATACTAAATCGAATTTAGGTTCTTTTAAGTATATATATATATAATTTATAATAGGTTTATAAAAAGAATTTAATAGTAAAAATATCTAGATACCTAATTTAGATACCTAATTAAGATACTAGATATCTAATTAAGATACTAAATACCTGATTTAGATACCTAGTTAAGATATTAGATATCTGGTTTAGATATCTAATTAAAATATTAGATATCTAGTTCAGATATCTAGTTAAGATACCAGATACCTAATTTAGATATCTAGTTAAGATATTAGATATCTAGTTTAAATATTAGATATCTAATTAAAATACCAGATATTTCAGATACCTAAAAGTATTAAAAATATTAAAGTAAATATTTTGCCCTTAAATATTTTATTTATAATAAGAAATTTAGGAAGTAAAATATTATAATTCCGGGAAGATCTAAAGCTTAAAGAACTTAATTTAATAATAAAATCGAAGTAGTAGTTAAAGAGCTTTAAGAATATATATAAGATATATATTTTAGAGAAAAAGTTTTATAAATACAAGTATTATATAAGTAGAAAAGATAGTTTCTAAGAAAGTAGTCTTAGAACTAAAAGAAATTAGTTTTAAAAAATAATAGAAATTAAATAATTAATTAGTTAAATGGCTAACTATTTATTAATTAGTAAGAGTTAGATATCTTTTTTATAGGCTACTAAATGCTTTTATAAAATTAATAAATAGTTCTCTTCTTTAATATAAAATAAACTAGATTTGTTTTAGGCTACTAAATATTTTTAGGACTAATCTAAAATCTTCTTTAATTTATATATATAAACTAATTAATATTAGTTTACTAATAATATATAATATTATTATATAAATATAAAAATACTAGTTATATTAGTTAGTAAAGTTATTATTATTTAGAAATAAGAATTATAGTATTATAATATTAATATATAATTCCTAAATTTACTAAGCCTAAAGAAATCTAGTTTACTAGTTAAGTTACTAATAAAATATAAGATTATATAATTATATCTTATATTTCATATCTTATTATTTATATCTTATTACTTATATCTCGTAATTATATATATAATTCCCAAAGAAATAGCTATACTAATAAAAGCCTTTTCTAAATAAGAGGCCCTAATAATATATATATAATTAGTAATTTATAAATCTAATACTTATAATATAAATAATAATATAATTATAATATTAAAAAAACTATTAATTTCTCTAATTAGTATTTATAATATTCGAGATTTATTATATATTCTTAAATTATATATAATTCTATATATATTATAGTTTTTTATATTTTAGTTTTCTCTTTTCTAACTTTAAATTCTCTTTATAAGAAATCTTTTATTTTGCTTTTTAAGCTTTAAATATTATATTTATAATAAAAAAAATTTATAATTTTTTTTTAAATAATTAAAAACTTAATTTAAATATATTTAAAATTATTAGTAATTAAAATAAAAGTATAAATGACTTAGATTAAGTTATAGTAATTTATATGAACCTGTAATTTATATAGTTATTTAGGAGAGTTAATATAGTAGAGTTGAAATATTTAGCTAAGGCCTTATAAATAGGGCCTAATTAGGCATTGAGCCTTTTGGTCACTGTGGCCAACCAGACTGCGGAGGTGAGTACACCCTGTGCATCTGCCTGGGGAACATCTCACACTTATCAACACCAACAATCTTTGCGCAAAATGCCATCCTCCGAGTACGATACCCAACATGCGCACCACGCAGTCGATGAGACAGCGTCGCTGCTCGCAAGTCATCGCCGCGATGATGGTGATGATGTAACAAACACGACAGCCAGTACTCTTGTGAATCGTAGAGCGGCTGCAAAGAAACGAAGTTACATCAAGACCCACTTCGTCATTCTAATCACTCTCGTCGTCTTCATTATCGATTTCGCATTCTGCTTAATCGACGCACCACAGATTGAAATCTTTGAGCACATCATCTGCAACGCTTACTATATGAGTAATTCAGCAGTTCTTACATCAAACCGAACCGATCGGATGAAAGCTAGTTCCAGTTGTGTCGTGGATGCCGTGCAATCAGAACTGGCAATTTTGACACAGTTCAAAGATACGCTGGATATGCTACCCTGTAAGTTTTCCTGACTCATGGCTAGATCAGTACGCTCGCGTAGTATATATGAGTGCGTTGCTCGGAATATTGAACGGACAGATGTCGGAATATGCAAAACGACCGCTGAAATGCTTCTTTATTGCGCAAATGCTGATATCGGATGTCGTTTTGATAGCTCTCGTCCTGGCTGTCCCGTACGGAATCCTCGCCGAGACCTTTGGCCGCAAGCCAATCATGCTCATGAGTATGATTGGAATCGCAGCCGAGGTGCTTATCGACGTTTTGATCTGTAGGTGGTCCGTCTTCCACTTATAACTTCGTGAGCTTACACAGCGCCTATGAACAGGTTGGCTTCCGCAAGTCTTCAGACTTCGGATTATCTGGATAACACCGCTACTGCAAATCCTGGGAGGAGGTATATCAGTGACAAATTCGATGCTTTACACGAGTACGTGGCCAAATTCTTCACAAATGACTGATGCCTTTTCGCACCAGGGATAAACCATAGTTCCTCATGGAACACCACACCGTCTCGACTTCAACTCCAGATTTCTTTTCCTATCTTAAGTCATTGCGCAGAGCGATAAGTAACTGATTGGAGCCTCAGTGTTGGCAGATTTTCTCGAGCCGGCGGATCGGTAAGTCAAAAATCGACCTTAACTTCACTGACACTCGCGTTGTCTGTTAAGGTTAGTCATGCTTGACTCACCACTCCTAGGGCAAACGCGTTCTACTTGATCTCAGCTAGCAGCCTCCTAGGTGAAGTCACAGGCAATACGATGGCTGCCACGTTGATGAGAATAAGTTCTTGGCTCCCGATAATGATCGCTGTCGGTATCTTCTCCCTCTCTCCTCTACTAATCCTGCTTCTCCCGGAAACGATGAAGGCCAGGCCTTGCTATGTCGACACAAGCACGATCCTCACGCAGCCTGCTAGGAATGGCACCAAAAGACTTCGCGATGAATTCCAGGACCTCTGGACGAGATTGAACATATTGAAAGGCGTTGTGTTCAAGAGCACGAACATTATGCTCCTGATGTCTGCCTTTTTTCTTTCAGGGATTGCGGACCAGTCAAGCACGCTTGAACTGCAATACGTGCGGAAATTTTTTGGCTGGAGCTATTCGCGCGTGAGTCACCCCAATTCACTGCTACAGCTCCGATGATTTAATGCCTTGAGAAGGGGGCCCTTATTGTTTCCAGCCTCCCCTCCGGCCTGGATGTTATCGTCTTCCTGATCTTACTCCCTCTCTTGGACAGGATCCTAATAGAAAGAATGCACGTTCTTCCATCTGCGAAGGACCTGATCATGGTGCGCGCTAGTGCCATCATCTTGGCTTTTGGGTCACTTCTTTTCGCATTATCGTCCGAAACGCTTGTTTTGATCGCTTCAATCTCAGTGCTCACCCTTGGTGATGGGATAGAGGTCGCAATGCGCAGTCTCCTGACTTCACTCATACCACCTCACCAGGTTAGTACGGTCTATACTGGCGTCGCTGTGGTTTCTGGTGCGGGAGGGATGATCGCAGGCCCGATTCTTGCTATGACATTCAAAGTGGGAATGCGCGCAGGTGGCCGTTGGCTTGCTTTGCCATTCTATGTTGTGGCCGCGTTGTTTTTTCTGATTATTATGGCGGTCTGCCGTGTCCAGCTACGAAAGACAGATGAGAATGAGGATGCGACAACTAGCAATGGCCGTTTCGACGATGATGGAGGATCTTCTGTGGAGCACGATCAGGGTGGCCAATAGAGAGATAGACAATGGCCTTAGGTGATGGTATACAAACAAACAAACAGACATGCCAGATAGTCTGGTATGTCTAGCAGAAGGTGTGGGTTTTGAGGAAGGCGGTGGGTCTTGGGGAACTGTCGCTTTCCTGTATAAAGCAGCCAATTATAGCTCTTAGATCCAGCAATCTGATCTCATTATCTCGATCTTACTTTAAAAGAAATCGGATTCGAACTTTTAATACTATTTTATTTAATTATAAGACTTATTAAATAAAAATAAATAAAAATTAAAAAAAACTTTAATAAAAGTAATTTTATTTTTAAAAACTTTAATTTAATAAATTCTAATTTATAAAGCTATTAAGAAAGAAAAAATTCCGAAAATTATATAAATATAATAATATTAGCTAAAGCTAGAAAAAAATAGCTATTATATAATTAGTAAACTTAATTAATTAGTATTTTTGTTACGGGTATGGTATTCAGGGCTTGGAAAGCAAGGTAGAAGGTCCCTTACAAAGACGATTTAAAGCTAAGGAAGGGAAAACTAGAATACAGGAGGCCGCGAGGGAGTATATGCACCCCATAGTGTGCTAGTCCCGAAGGGGCTTAGCCTTCTAAATATCTCCAGTACATTCCAAGCATATTTCCCTAGCGAGGCGGCCGCGTCACGTGCGCCTAGGAGGCATCTGGCATCTGGCGAGGCATCTCAGATACCGGGCATCTGGGAATCGTGACAATTTTAATAGTTTTAGCTAAAAAAAAAATCGTTTCTTTTTAATTTAGTATTTTTAATATATAAGATTTTTAGATTTTTAAAATTCTAGCTATTACTTTAATTTTATTATAATAATAAATTTATTTTTTTAGGCTTTATTAAAATATTAGTTTTATTTTAAATATAGTAAAATAAAAATATTTATAAAATAAATTTATTTTATTATTATAAAGAAATATTTTAAAAAGAAAAAATTAAATTTTAAATATTAATAATTTTATTTATATAATTATTTAAATAAAATTAAAAATAAAACTTTAAAAATATATAATAATATATAAGAATTATAGTATTATAATATTAATATATAATTTCTAAAATTATTAAGCTTAATAAAAACTAGTTACTAGTTAAATTATTTATATAATATAAGATTATATAATTATTATTATTAATATAGCTATTTCTTTAGAAATTATATATTAATACTATAATATTATAATTTCTATTTCTAAATAATAATAATTTTACTAACTAATATAACTAGTATTTTTATATTTATATAATAATATTATATATTACTAATAAACTAATACTAATTAGTTTATATATATAGATTAGAGAATAGAATTTTTTAAGTTAAAAAAATATCTAATAGCTTATAGTAAAATTAAATTAGTTTATATTAAAAAGGGAAATTATTTATTAATTCTATAAAAAAGCATCCGGTAGTCTAAATAAAAAAATAACTAGTTTTTACTAAAAACTAAGAACTATTTTATTAAAAAGGGAAATTATTATTAACTTTATAAAAAAGTATCTAGTAGCCTAAAAAAAGAAAACTTTAGTTTTTACTAATTAATAAATAGTTAGCTATTTAATTATTCATTTATTTAATTATTTATTATTCTTTAAACTAATTTCTTTTAGCCCTAAAACTACTTTTTTAGAAACTATCTTTTCTACTTATATAATACTTATATTTATAGAATTCTTTCTCTAAAATATATATCCTATATATATTCTTAGAGCTTTTTAAAGCTTTAGACCCTCCCAGAATTATAATATTTCATTTCTTAAATTTCTTATTATAAATAAAATATTTAAGAGTAAAATATTTACTTTAATACTTTAAATACTTCTAGATATCTAGATATCTAGTATCTAAACCAGGTATTTAAATTAGGTATTTAAATATCTAAATACCTTTACTACTAAACTCTTTTTATAAACTTATTATAAATTACCTTATTTTAAACCTCTCTTATTATAAATTATATATATATAAGTAAGGGTTTAGCTCTAGAGATTTAATATAGTAGAATTATAAGATAAATATATATAAATAAAGAAATAAAAAAAATTAATCTAATTACTTATAATAATAAGGAAGTCCTAAATTACCTTAATACTAGACTATTTTAGTATAAAGTAAAGAAGTTAACTAATAATAATTTCTAGAAATTATTTAAAAATAATTTTAATAATTTTAATCTTAAAATACTTAATTATCTAGATTAATATATATTATATTAATTATAAGCTACTTTATAATATAATAGTATTTATATTAAATAAAATAATAAGAAACTTACTATTATATAGTTTTTAGCTAATATTATTTAAGGAAAAAAGTAATATATCTAAACTATAGCTAATATTATTATTATTAGACTAGACTTTAATATAAACTCTATTACTTTATTATATATATTTCTTAATAATAGTATTATAAGAAATTAATAAACTAAATTAATTATTACTTATATTTCTTTATTATTTATAATTATTTCTACTAGTATTAGACTATAAAGAATTAATAATAACGGATTTTTATTATTTCTATTATTTTTAAATAATTCTTTAACTAGCTTTCTTATTATAAAACTAATTAGAGAAATAGTAAAAATATATATTAAGATATAAAAATATAATAAAACTAATAGTAATTTTAATTAAAAACTTATTATTTTCTTTAATATTTACTAATATATAAAGCTTTTAGAAAAGATATTAGTAAGAGCTTTTCCTACTATATTAAAAAGCCTAGTATAAGACTACTTCTATAATAACTAGCTCTCGAATTATATATATAAAGAGGCTTATATAAATATTTATAGTTTTTTTAAAAACTCTAGTTATTATTATTAAAATTTAGATAAATAAAATATTATTACCTTAATAATTATAATAATAAAAAACCCTAAAAAAATAATATTTAAGCTTATTTAAATACTAATTAATAACTTATATAAATTATAATATAGCTTTATTTTTATTTTATAAAATACTTAATTCCTATATAATAAGATTATTATTTTTTATTAAGGCTTATTAGTATACTAATATATAGTCTCGAACTTTTCTAATAATCTTAACTAGCTTATTAATAAGTTCTAATTATCTATTACTACTTATAAGAAAAAGTAATAAATTATTATTAAAACCTATTTTACTAATTAATAATATTATATTTAAAATTCTTTAAATTATTATTTATTTGAAAATTATTAATATAAATCTAGTTATAACTTTAGAACCTATAATAACTATTTTAAGTCTTATAATAATAATAATTATATTTTAAAGTTATATTTTATATATAAGAAATCTAAATATTACTTATAAAAATATATATTAGAGAAATAAAAAACTAAAAAGACTTAATTTAAAAATAGAAATATTTACTAATTTAGATCTCGAAATACTTATAACTTTAATAAATACTTTAGTAATATTTATATATAATATATTACTAAATTTAAAGAAAAAAAGAATAATAAAAAGAATAAAAATAAACTAGTAAATAATATTTATATATAATATATTACTAAATTTAAAGAAAAAAAGAATAATAAAAAGAATAAAATAAACTAGTAAATAATACTTTTAAAGCTTTATTAATAGAAATAAATTAAAAATTAAAAAATAATTCTAATTCCTATTTTACTTTTATTAAAAGCTTTCTAATTACTTCTATAGCCTCTATTTCTATTATTTCTATAACTAATATTTTTATAAATAACTTTATTTCTCTTTTTTATATATATTAAATAATAAATAAAAACTATATTTTAAAGTTTATTAAATAAATAGAAAATATTTAGATATTTATAATTAATAATATATTAAGATATAATACTTATTACTTTTATAAAATTATAATTAATATTAGAGCCTTTAGATTTTTAATTATTAGTTCTAACTAATTTTAAGCTTTATAATAAACTAATAATAATAATAAACTTAATAAAAATACTAAAAATTAAGTTAATATCTAGTTTAGTATTAGATTTATATTTTTTATTAAATCTATAATAATAAAAATACTAATTAGGTAAGTATAATTTTATATTATATTTATAAAAACTTTATTTCTATTTAGTTTAACTAATATAAATAAGCTAGAAATCTATTTTAATAATCTTACTAATTATCTTATTACTTCTAATAAATACTTTATATTTATAATATAATATTTTAGATACTTTTTCTTATTTTAAAATACTATTTTATAAAGCTTTATTTATAATTCTTATTTTTTTATAAAAATTAAATTATAATATTTATATTACTATTTTAGTTATTTATTTATTAGTAAGCTTTAAAATATACTAGAATAAATAGGCTATAATATTAATATAAAAGCCCTTAAATACTTTATAAAGTATTATAAATAATACTAGAAATTCGAATAATTACTAGAATAATTTAAGCTTAATCTAAAAGATAATATTAGCTTTAATTATTTCATTATTATTAATATTTTCTATATTTCTAGTAAGTTTATATTTTATATTATTAATAAAAGTATTTAATATTAAACCGGCTAATAGCTTTAAAATATTAGTATATTATATACTTAAAATATCCTAAAGTAATATTAAATTAATATTTATTTAGATTCTCTTAATTAGATTATAATAAATATCGAAAAGTAATTTATTAATAAGAAGTTTATTTAATTTATAAATATTATAAAAACTAAAATTAAAATCGTTTTTATAAAAGCTTATAATTTTATTAGAATTATAAAATATTATTATAATCTAATTTAATATACTTATTTTATTATTATAGCCGAAATTAATAGAATTAATAAAGATATTATATTTTAAATAGCTTTTAAAGCTATTAATAATTCTATTAAATCTAATAGTATTATTTTAATTCTTTTAGTTTATAATATTTTATTTTAAATAACTAAATATAATACTTTATTACTAACTATATTATAATAATTAGTAGTATTTAAGAAAGTAATAGTAGAAATTTAGAAGATTTAAGCTAGATACTAGATTATAAATATTTCAAATACCCGAAATAGTTCTAGTATTACTAATATTTATAAACTTCTTTTAAATTCAAATATTTTTATATAATATAAAGAAAATACTAGTTATTCTAGTAATTAAAATAAACTATATAAGCTAGTATTTATTAATAGAAAGAACTATATACTAGCTCTATTATATAGTAATACTACTTTTTATTTAATTTCTATAAAGCTCTTTTATATAAGAAATATTAAAGTTATTATTAATAGCCCTAAACCTAAAACTATTTCTGAATTTTATAATAAGACTAAAAGTAATATAAATATAATTTCTTTTACTATTTCTATTATTTTACTAAAATATAATAAAAAATACTCTTATAAAACCTTAAATATTATAATATTTCTTTAGGATAATAACTTATATAAAAACTCTTATTAAATTAAAGTTATTAGCTTTTTAGAAAAAAATATATTTAAGATTATTTCTAGATTTCAAGTATTAAAGAAAATATATATTTTTAACTTCTGGTTTATTAATAAGATTAAAAATAAAAATATGAAAAAAGAGTTTAAGAAATTAAGACTAGTTATTTAAGCTTATAATAATAGTAAGAAATATATAATATTAATATAATAATTTATTATTTAATATATTAGTTAAAGAATTATTTTTAATATTACTATTATAATAATAAATATTTTATAAGTTTATATTTAATTAATAATTTTACTTAATTATAAATTTTATATTAATTTATCTTATAAGTTTACTAGAAAGCTAAATCTAAATAATAATTCGGTTTTAAAAGTTATAAAACTATTATATAATATACTAGAAGCTAGGAATTACTAGTTTAAAACTTATTATTTCTATTATATTAATAAGCTTTTTATAAAATAATTAATTTATAATTCTTGCCTTTTTTATAATAAATAATTATTTGGAATTATTAGTTTTTAAACTAATAATATTCTATTTATTAGAACTAATAATTTTATAAAAACGAAATAACTAAAGCTTTAAAAAACTAAGTTTTTAGTTAAGAAATATAAATACCTTATTATTAATTATAATCTCAAATTTAATAAAGATATTATTTATTAAGATCTTTTTATTAAAAACTAATATATTACCTAATATATTAGAGAAATATATATTATATTAGTCTATTAACTAGAAGCTTTATATAACTTATTAATTATTACTTTAGTTATTAAATTCTCGAAAACTAATATAAAAATACTTAATAAATATATTTAATAATAAATTAAAAATATTACTAGAGAATTAAGATTTATAAAACTAGTAAAAAAGTTCTTATATTTAATTATTTTTATAAATACTTTATTTATAAATAATAGAGATCTCTTTTCTTAAATTAAATATATTTAAATTCTAATAAATAAAACTAAATATACTAATATTATTTACTAGTTCTTTACTAAATATAAAAGAATTATTAGAAGTATTCTAGTTTTAGAACTTTATAATATAGCTTATAGCTTTAATATAAGTACTTTAGTTAAATTTATAATTAATAAAGTACTAGAAATAGAACTATTACTAATAGTTTATATAGATTTAAAGTTATTATATAAATATTTTATTAAATTAGAAACTACTCGAGAAAAGTATTTAATAATTAATATAATATATTTTTACTAGATATATAAATAATAAAAGATTATAGAAATTAAATAAATTAAAAAAGAATTAAATTCTACTAATTCTATAATAAAATCGAAGCTAATAAATGCCTTTAAGTATCTAATTAATATAAATATTATATAATTAGATATAAAGAAATAGATTAAGTATAAATAAAACAGAAAATAAATATATAAAATAGAAGAATATTATAGAAAAAGAAGTTATATATAAAAGACTATAGCCTTTAATATATAATTAAAACCTTAGAAATAATATAAATATATAAAATATTTGAGAAATCTAGTATTATACCGGATTAGAAAATTTATATATAATTAAAGAAAAGTATTATTTTTTGTATTTTTTAGAAAGTTTCTAGTATTAGTATAGCTATTTCTTTAAAAGTTATATATATAATTATAAGATATAGGATATAGGATATAAAATACGAGATATAGTTATATAACCTTATATTTTATAAGTAATTTAACTAGTAAACTAGATTTCTTTAGGCTTAGTAAATTTAGAGATTATATATTAATATTATAATACTATAATTCCTATTTCTAAATAATAGTAACTTTACTAACTAATATAACTAGTATTTCTATACCTATATAATAGTATTATATATTACTAGTAAACTAATAATTATTTATTATTTATATTTTATTATTTTTAGTTACTTCTATATTATATAATCTTATATTTCCTAAATAACTTAATTAATAATTAGTTCTTATTAGGCTTAGTAAATTTAGGAATTATATATTAATACTATAATACTATAATATTATAATTCTTACTTCTAAATATTAAGTATTTTACTAATTTTATATATTAAATATTTTATATATATTATATATTATTAGTAAACTAATAATATTATATAAATCGACTATTTTAATTATATTTTATTATATGAATTACTTATATTATTAATAATATTACATTTTTAAAATATAGTAATTTTGATTTTATAAGAGGGAAATAATTGCAGTAGTGTTCTTAAAGGAGCCTGTACTCGCCTTTATTCTCCGATAGACAACGCATCATGCATGGTGTCTAATGCGCAGCATGTTGTAATCAGCATTACAGAATAATGAGGCAAGAAGTAAGCCAATAACTCCGGAGGCCTTATTCGGTGCTTACGAGCTGCATGACACTCGGGATGTTTTGCAATGCATGAAGTGTACTGGAGCAGGTCGTGGTCTATGACCGTGTGGTTATTGCAGATGCTTTTGTAGCGTCTTTCAACAAGACCGGTCAATCGTTAACCTCCTCCTGGACCCAGGACAAAGTATAACATGACCGACACAGAGCTCTGCCGTGCACGCACGGAAGATACGTGTCTTCTCGACAAGCTCCCGACATGTCTCTAGCTGCTACTTTAGTTTGGACGATTGTCTTTCTCTCCTCTCTCGTTCTTGGCAGAGTTATCTATGCACTACACCTCTCGCCGTACAGACACATCCCTGGACCTCGAGTGTGCAAGATTACTCAATATTGGACACTCTGGCATGACATATGGCTTCGCAGGGTCGAGAAGATCCACGAGTGGCATCGCCGCTATGGTGACGTTGTTCTAATTGCGCCGGGTAAAGTCTCCTTCTCCGACGCTGTCTCAACAAGGGAGATATACGGCACCTCTTGCGGACTTCCAAAGAGTAGGTATTTCGACAACTTTCTGGCGTATTGCAATCGATCTGTCTTCTGTACTCTTGGTGTAAAGGAGCACCAGGAGGCCCTGAAGCGCACCATCGCCTTCTACAGACCCACGTCTGTCTTCAAGTCTGCCATGCTGCAACCTGTGCGGGACAATGTCAAGAAGACGCTGAATCAGCTGGCGAGACGCACCGAAAACGGCCACGCAACACTAGACATACTAATCGTCTGTAACTTCTTCTCTTTCGATAACATTACGAGACTGTTGTATGGCCCTGATCTCTGTACACGAACGATTGAGCACGAATCGTGCTTCGAGCGGACCATACTCGGAGGATGGATGACAGTCGAGCTCTGGAACAACCTCTTGTACAACTTCCCTGTAGCGCATAAGGTCACCAAAGCCATATTCTCGTACTGCAGTGATAAGCCAGACTTCTTGGCCGCCGATGATAAGCTGGCCGACTGGAACATGAGAAGAGTTGATGCCGCCTTGCGCAAACCTGCAGATATGGCTGTCGATTCGCTGCTCCATGTGCTCAGCACAGCCAAGACGCCCGATGGCGAGCCATTGCCCAAGTCGTGGATCGCAGCGGAACTGCTGGACAACATCCATGCTGCGCAATCAACAGTGGCCTTGGCACTCACTTATGTCCTCTGGAATCTGGCCAACTGTCCAGAATGGCAGAGTCGGATCCGTGAGGAGCTCTCTGCCATGCCACTCGAAAAAGATGGTCTTTCTGCATTCAGTTTTCTTCAGTTTGCGCCGATCTTAGATGCCTGCATCACCGAATCAAGTCGGCTTCACCCGCTATCGAGCGGCAGAGCAGAGAGAGTCGTGCCTGTAACCAGGGCGTACAATGGCATTGTGCTTCCTGCTAATGTAAATCTTCCCTGACACGATCATGTGCGCTGATCATTGAGCCTTAAATGCAGACTGTCGTCTCAACATCAACACTCGCTATACATCACAGACCAGAAGTCTTCCCAGACCCACAAGCCTACAAGCCTGAACGTTGGCTGCACGCCAAGGGAGAAGTCCTTCGTGTAATGCAGTCATGCTATATACCTTTCGGATACGGTGCACGTTTGTGTCTGGGCAAGCCATTTGCACAAGCTGGCATTAAGCACTTCATTGCAGGTATCTTGATGCAGTTCGAGGTGTGCATAGATCCTCGATCAGGAACAACGAGTCGGACCATGGCTCAACTGGGCACCCAGAACGCTTTGCCACGAGGACGGCGTTGTGAGCTTTTACTTAAGCGGTTGCCTGTAGCATGTACTTGCAAGCAAAAAGCCTCATGAGAGGATTGCCATCCGTTGAAATGTCATTCTCGAATAATAGCGCTTGGATTAGCAGAGATTTCATGATATCTTCAAGACTTCAAGATCCCGGCACTGCCTTCATTAGAAGAATGCATTGATTGCATGCTAGAGTACCGCAGCCAATACAACAGATATAGTTGCCGGAATGGCTCATATCCTTCTCATCTTCTTTGCACGATCGCGTTGTCTTCGCGCACTAGATCACACTCAGGTTCTGATGTAATGGCTGATGTTCTCAGGCTGTCACCCTGGCCCAGGAGGCATTCGAGTGCCCGGTGGAGAACAGTACAGATCACAGGTGATCGTTGAGACATGCCTGGGACTGGCAACAAAGAACTCGATTGTGACGGCAACCTTCTCCCGATCAAGATGCCACACCAGAGTCTTTGAATCTGGGCTGTCCTCTTCTCAATCGTACCAATCATTTGTGCCAGACTATCACTCACCGATCACTGCCACGAAAGTATGTGCCTATCCCATGATTGTCTCCATAGTGCCAAGTCAGTCAAGGGTTCTAGACTGACTCACTGATTCTGAGGATGTAGTTGCGATAGCCGCGACATCCGATGTTCATTCGGCAGCCATCGGTAGGTCCGGGATGGAACGACCAGGTCTTCTGGTATCTGCTGGGCAAAGACATGACGACGATCGAGTCAGGCTGTAGAGGGGAGTGCTGTGAGCTAGAGGATGGATGAGCTATATAGAGCTGTATGGATGCATAGCCTAGCCTTCAAGTGGCGTCGAGATTGGCGGCTCTGGCTGCAGCAGTCATGCAGTGTTGGGCTGTGGTTGGTGTTGTGGGTTTGAACTAGTCAGAGCAATTGTCTTGTAAGATTGGTGACACTATCTATGAGGTATAGGAACCCCCTTATATAAATACCTAGTACAAAGGCAGTCAATACAACAATAGGAGGCGTATAGTGTCACGGCCTGGACAAGCTGTGGAAGTGGAATGTGTGTGTATTGGTGTAAATATGTAAGAATCATGGTGCACTAATGGCGGTGAAGAAGCTATATATATGCTTGTGCGCAGCACGTGACATATAGACACCTAGACCTAGTGTGGTGCTTTATACTGCTTTATTCCACAGTAGTAACAAAGAGCACCAGACAAAGTTCAGCTTCACTAGCAGGATAGTTACCTGAAACCAGTCGTGAAACCAGTCGTGAAACCTGCTAGCTAGCAAGCTAACAAAGACACGTGCAGAAGCCATTCACAACAGTTAGCAGCGAACTATCTTCACTGGTCGATGCAAGTGGACTGACGAGCTCCGATACTGCGAGCTATCATTGATGGTCTTACGATTCAGACCTTCCAAGATGGATGAAAGTAATGTATTGAGATATTCTAACTGAAGACCTATAGGACGACATTAACATATCATCTTTCAAGCTTCGTTAGGAAGAGATGTCACGAATTAATGGAAGTGAGCTTTCTCAAATGGAGCACCAAGGTGATGTCATTCAAGATTGCTAAGCGCCCACTAGACTGACTAGAGGACACCCCAGGGTTAGCTCGCAGTCTGGAGTATTGAACGAACTGCTTGAAGCTGACCTGCGTTCAACCAGCTACCTAGGACACAAGAGCGTAGAAGAAAGCTCGAATTATGTCCCCCAGTATGATCAGCCGTCCTGGGATGTACAGAAGCAGGGTGATCACACCCAGCACTGTAGCAATGAGAGCGATAGATCTAAGGCCGAAGATCAAGGCTGGCATTGCCCAACAGCCCTTGTGCCTACCCACCAATCCAATTGGTGTACCATTGTGATCGTAGTAGTACTTCGCAACGATACAGTGGGTGGCCATATGTCTGTCCGATTGGGCTGTTTTACACCAAAACGCCTATATTGCCCTGGGCAGTTTTGGCAGGACAGCGTTCTTATATTTACCTTAGATTCTTGGATTTAAGCCAGATTTACTAAATACCCACTTCTACTTACTTAGCATTTTGCATTTTATCCCTTTTCAGGCTATAAGATCAAATAATACCGAGCACTTTTATAACTTCGCGGATTTACTATGTAAATAAGCGAGAAAATCGAGAAAATCGAAAAGTGAAAATTAATAAGTTATATTATACATAGAGATAAACCTCAAAGAGACCTATATTTGAGTATATGTAATAAGAAGTAATTATTGATCGTGGGTTAAAAGTATTATTATTTTAATTTAAGAAGGCGCCAGATTTTTGAGGAATTAAAGGAGGCGTTTTGGCCGTTTTTGCTGTGATTTTCGCGAGTCGGACAGACATGTGGCCACTCACTGTACTAGCGATGCAGCAGCAGATTGCACAGCCTGTGACTGCCACAGAAGCACCACGCCAAAGCCACAAATCGGTATCAGAGCAAACTGCTTAAGATGCCAGCTGGCCAGATGTATGGCGCCGAGAATGGAGCTGAGGATGGCTTTCGCGGTACAAGTCGATGTATCTGCAAGCCCTCGATTTGTTCATAGCCTGTGTCATCGACGAATATGGTAATTGCTTTGTCTGACTCTGGCTTGCACAGAAGGAAGCAGCTGGTGGTTAGAGAGATGACTGCAAAGGCTGCTGTTCTAACATCCAGAGGTGCGACATGAGATCAGTGAATCAGGGCCCGTTTCTTGGTTCTACGGACTAGGGCGGGATTTTAGGCGGTGAAGGGCCAAAAACCAAAACACCAAAACACCAGAATACCAAAACGCCAGAACACCAAAACCACGAAATTCAAAACTACAAATCGTACACTAATTAAAATTAGGTATAGAATTGCACTAAATCTATACTTAGACTTATACTTATTATTTATAAGAAGTTCTTTATATATTATAATAAGCTATTTCTAGGGAACTATTTCTAAGAAAGCTATAATAGTAGAATTAAGGCAATAGCTAGTACTTAAAGATCCAAGAATCTTATATATTAAAAAACACTAAGCTATAGAATAAAGTAAAGAGAATGCCTCGATCTTTTAGTATTATTTTACTCAAGTATTTTAGCTTAGCTTTATTTTATATCTATTTCTAATATTCTATCTTTAGTAAATTTATTATAGACCTATAAAGGGAGCCTATGGATGAGGTACTTATAGGAGAACTGTTTATCGAGAAAACTAAGCTAAGGAGGAAAGGGAGTCTCGATCTGAGGTCCCTTAAGTATTTACAGTTCTTCGCTTGTGGCTCGGCCTAATAGGGCTTAGCATCCTAAATTTCCTGGAGTACAGCCTTCCCTAGCTTCGTTACGTGCAACTGTTATGTAACCCCAGATACCAGATGCTCAGATGCCAAATGCCAGATACCAGGCTCAGATATCAAATACTAGATGCCAGGCTCAGATACCAAATGCCAGATGCCAGGCTCAGATGCCAAATGCCAGATGCCAGGCTAGGTGGAGCGTGGAATTGTAACATTACCCCCCCCCCTTGGAAAAAGCTTGTCCTCAAGCAGGTAGGCATTATAGAATCATCGTCCAAATTATCGTAGTCCTCCGTCCCGTTCTCCCAGGCTCGTATCCAGTCGACCAGCTTCTTTAGTGGGCCTGGCTATTATTAATTGGCTAAGTAGTAGTCTCGCAGCTTATAGGGAGAGTATTTCAGATCGGAGGCCGGATACTAGTTAAGGTCTTTATTATATCTAACCTAACTAACCCTATATAGGAGCTTTCCCTGCTCTGCCTTTAATACCAGAATATCCTGTACTTTATATTCTCGGTCTGTTATTACTTGAATTAGTAGAAGTAGTTTATTCTTCTGGCGAGGTAGTGGATTATTGGCAGCCTTATATAAATAGTCTAGGGAAAATATATTATGAATTTTAATACTCTCAGGTAGTTCAACTTTATAGAAATTACTAACTTAATATAAGATCGGATAAGGCCCGGCTATTTAATAGTCTAGCTTGCGGCTAGAGTATTATATCTTTTACTTCTTTATTAATATATATATCTTGTTTCCTACTTTGAAATTTATAGGGCAATATTTAGTATTAGTATACTTTTCTATTTTTTTATATATTTATTCTATATTTTCCTTGCCTCTCTTTATAGTATTCTTTATTTATCTAGTAATCTACTAAGCCTTTATCTTACTTAGCTTATCTTAAGATATAATTATTAGGATTAACTAGTTAAAGGAGGTTTATAGAAGCCTATTATTAAGGAGTTTATATAAGGATATACTAATAGAGCTATATAGGAAGGTAAGTTAAATATAATTAATTTTTAGTAAGTATTTATTCTAGTTATTTTAGTAATATATAATATATGAGTATAATTATTAATTAATATATTAATTTATAATTTCTGTTTATTTATTAGTTTATAAGTAATATATTATTAATAGTTTTAATTTTATATTTAGAATTCTATTAAATTTCTTTTAGAATACTAATATAAATTACGAATTATAATCGGAAATAATAGAGGCTAGAGGGCTATAATAATAGTAAATAGTTTAGAGATATATCTTTATTATATTCTCTATTATAATTATTTTATAATAAGATATAGAAATAGCTTACTTACTTAATTAGTTAATTATAATATATATAGTATTATAGCCGAACTTTAAGTCAGGTATTAACTTGAAATCTATTATAATATATTATTATAAGTAGTTCGGAACTAGTAAAGAGTAAAGTAAATTAGAAATCTTATTTCTTAGGATATTTACTCGTTTATATAATTAGTAATTATAAATATATTAAGTAATATTATATTATATATTCTTCTAGTAATATTATAACTATAGTAGCTTATAAGTTTTATTTTTACTAGAGTATATTATAAAGACTTAGTTATAAGTCTTATGAATTAAATCTATATATAACTATTTTCCCGGTATTATAAGTTATTTATAATAGAATAATAACCTATTTTTTATAATAAAGTCGGTATTATTCCGTTTGGCCTACTTATAGAAGGCTTATAAAAAGAAAGCTTTATAGTTATTTTATAGGATCTGTTTAACTAAATTATTTATTTTATTAAGGTTATTATTATTAT